AGATTTCTGAATTGTCTTCTTTGTTCTATGAGTGACTGATCGTCGTTGTCCATTATGGAGTAGTACTGTTCCAGAACCGTGCTCAAATCGCTGATGGCAGCAGTAACATTCTGCTTCACTTCGCTCAAGATCCTGGCCTTGCTGGACTCAAACTCCTGTACTTGTGACTGAAAAGAGCTCAGATTGTGGAGCTTTTGATGAGGAATCCGAGAAAGAAAAGGTCGCTTGGTAGCTTTCTGGAAATCCTACCTCAATTCCATACTTCTCCGCCCAAGTAAGAATATTTTGCATCTGGGTGGCGATAGAGTCATTTACGCTACGTTGGATTTCAACATATTCGTTACGAGCTTCTCCAGAAAGATTTTTCAGGTAGGGTGGTGGTGGAGGACGCACAAAAAAACCACCACATGGGAAGCGCTCCCCGCCAGATGGCTGGCACACTGCTGCACCGGCGATGATCAGCACAATGATGGCGGTATTCATTCTGGAAAAAACTTCTTTTATTGCGAGTTATAAAACTTACTGCCGATTTGAATGAAAGCCTATGTCCCTGCGGAAGGGTACGAGAACTCAGTTGTAGCACCGTTCATTTTATAGAAGCCCAATACTGTTCTTCACTGAAGCCGCCCACCACAACACTAAGCCGGATCAAATTTTGTTTTGATTTTGTTGCTTCAAAAAAGAAACTTTGATCAACAAATGCGACCTTTTTTTGTTTTTGTTATTGCGTTACTTGCTGTTGTTCCTGGACGATTTGGAACAAAAACACGAACTCTGAATTGAAAAATTCAAATGTCAAAAATTCCATTTAGATGTCAAAAAGTTCGTTCGGCTGGGGAGTGGCATTCTGAACTTCAATTACTTCCTTTTGCTGGTTCGTATCAACTGACAGGTTACATTTTGGTGAGACCTGTAAACTCCTGTGAAGCTGCGAAATGCTATAAGTGAACCACTTTAGGACAGGAATTCACAGCCTCCACTTTTAGGAACAGTACATTCAGCAAGACTGTCCATGGTGTTACTCTGAAATATTATAGCTTTGGCATCTAAGCGGGCCGCCCACCACGGCGGAACTTGTCCCACCAAGCCGTACTGTGTCCAAAGTTCTATAAAGCAAGTATGCACAAGGAGTTCATTGCACAAAATTTTGAGAGACTACAGTCGTCATCCGCGGCAGTTGATTAGGCGGTCGTCGAAGGGTCGCAGACGCGGCTGCAGCAGCGACCGCGTACGTAGGAACTGTTGGCGGCGATCAGCTGTTTCCGGCCTGGTTTAGTCATTTTGTCCCTACTGGCTGCTTTTCTTGAGGTTGGTTTTTCCTTGTTTTCACAAGGTGAATTATGATTGAGATTGCTCTAAGTTTTGCAAACAATTAAACAATTAAACAGCAAAACAAACAATAAAACAAATACCTAAAAAATCGCAAAACACTTTATCATATAAACAAGAACGAATCCACGTCCTAATATACTTCATAAAGACAATAACACAACTTACCTTGAAAAAAAAATAGAAAATACAGTGAAAATTAGGGAGAAAATGGCTAAGCAACAGCTGATCGCCGCGGTCGTGACGCGCCGCAGCCGCGTCTGCGACCCTTTGACCGCCTAATCAACTGCCCGGATGACGACTGTAGATATGCGCCCGGAGGTTTATAGCTACACCAGAACCAAATGAAGATTCTGTTCTTCCAAAAAGACTACTTATTCATCTATTTTGTGTATTTGTTGATTCGTTCCTATTCATATTTTTATTTAGTTGTTCATTTTGTGTCCCACGGACACGTTCAGGCCATTCAACAAAACCTAATTGGAGCAAGGTACTTATTGAATAGCAAGAACGGCTGGAAGTCAAAGTGGCTGCTTGCGATGACACCTACACCCCAAGATGCATCTTCTAGCGCTGATTTCAGTTTGACAATTTTCATTTCTATTTCGTGATTCCGTTTTCAAATTCTCCGAGGATTTTGCTGTCTTTCTACAATTCTTATTATTTTTAGAAAAATGGATGTCCATAGGGGGGGAGTGGGTCAGGGCACATTGTTGTTGGGGAATCCCCAATAGGACAGGGGGGTCGTATTTGGTCGCCAGGAGGGGGTCGTATTTGGGCTGAGAGA